GCATTTGAGGGCCAATTCAAGACAATTCCTAGATTTTCATGTGCAATAGTCCATGCCATCTACATGAATTCGGGCGCCCGGCTCCGGATCTCCTAAAGTTTTATGGGCCCATAAAATATGACGCAAAGAATAATAGTCATCGTGTCTCCATGACCGTTCATCACATTTTGGCGTTTTAAGGCCATAAAATGGAAATTCAGGATGATTCTAAGATTTTCATATGCTATAGTCCACGACATCTGCATGAATTCGGGCGTCTGACCCCGAATCTCCTAAAATTTTGCGTGTCCATAAAAATGACCTAATAAATAATAGTCATTGCTTCGTCATGATTGTTCCACATTTTTGGCATTTTAGGGCCATAAAATTGGAATTCAAGACGATTCCCAGATTTTCGTGTGATATAGTCCACGCTATCTGCATGAATTCGAGCGACCGACTCTGAATCTCCTAAGCTTTTGTGGGCAGATAAACGACCTAATGAATAATAGTAATCGCGTCGCCATGACCGTGTTTTGTTTTCATCATTTTAGGGCCACAAAACTAAAATTCAGGACGATTACCTGATTTTCGTGTGCTATAATCCACGCCATCTGCATGAATTCGAGCAGCCAACTCTGAATTTCCTAATATCGGGCCCATAAAAAATGACCTAATAAACAATATTCATCGCTTTGCCATGACCGTTCCTCATTTTTTGGCATTTTAGGGTGATAGTACAGAAATTCAAGGCGATTCTCAAATTCTTGTGTGCTATAGTTCACGCTATCCATATAAATTCCGACGACCGAATTCGAATCCCCTAAAATTTTACGGGCATATCAAAAATGACCTAGCGAACAATAGTCATCGCTTCGCCATGATCGTTCCTTGTTTGTTGGCGTTTTAGGCTCATAAAACAGGAATACATGACGATTTTCAGATTTTCGTGTTTATAGTAGTCCATACCATCCGCATGAATTAGGGCGACCGACTCCGAATCTCTTATAATTTTGCGGGACTATCAAAAACTACCTAACGAACAATAGTCATCGCATCGCCATGACCGTTCCTCATTTATTTTGGCGTTTTAGGGCCATAAAATAGGAATTCAATAGTTCACGCCATTTGCATGAATTCGTGCGATCGGCTCCGAATCTCCTAGAATTTTGCGCGCCCATAAAAAATGACCTAATGAACAATAGTCATCGCTTTGCCATAACCATTATAAGTTTTGCGGCGTTTTAGGGCCATAAACAAGGAATTTAGAACGATTCCTAGATTTGCGTGTGCTATAGTCCATGCCATCTGTTGCGGCCAAACGCACACGCAAATATACACGGTCGTCAAGTAATAAAGTGATAAGATAGAGTGTCGAAACCACGAGGACTTGTGATTAACTATTAACTAAATTAGACTATCCTAATTATCTAAACAAGAGTTAAACCTAGAAGTATATGACTCTGATCTAATTAAACTAAAAAGAAAATAAATAATGAATTCTAAACAAAGGAAGTGTAGATTTTTTATGTATTAATGTAATGAAAACGATCCAGGGTTATGGGTTATCTAATATTCCTATTGTATTCTTTAATTGAATTGGCTAACTAATTAATCTAGCTTATTGGTTGACAAGGTTAATATTGCTCATAAGAATCTGTCGAGTTCTTACTCGCCTATTCAAGCTAACTTAACGCCTATATGTCTATGGAGTTAGAACTAGCAAGAACGCATTTATAATTCATGTACATCAACCAAGCAAGGCAATTAGGTATATGTCTATCCTAACCGCGAATCCGTTCCTCGATGCCCAGGTTCAAGAACTTGCTCTACTCAATCCTATGTGCAGTCTAGAATTCTCACTTTCGAGTTCAACTCTAGATTCATAAATAGTATTTAATTGGCGATCAAGCAATCAAATAATTAAGCGTAGGATTGAGTAAATAAACTAATATGATAAATCAAGAAACCAAAATCAATATTCAAATAACAATAGTCATGACAGAACCATGACCCTAGAAAGTGAAGTTTAGTTCCACATAGACATAGCCTAACAACAAATCATACAAAGAAATATAAAAATTACTAAGTTTGAAGGAAGAAGATAAAATCTGGCCTCCACGGCGGCTCCTTGCTCTCCCTAGGTCGAATCCCCTTCAAAAGATATGTTATATTCCCTAAAAGAGGCATTTTTGACTTATATATTGCGTACAAAAGTCGTGGGCCAAAGTTCCTATTTTCCTTTTTCGAATCAGCTTCAGGTATTGATGATGAGGTGGATGCTTCGCGTTTGCCTCAGCTTCAACTTCTCAGCATCGCATACTGGGGTGGATTCTTCGCGTCCACACTCTGTTCCTCCATCCCTGTTGTGCCCAGGTGCAGATGCTAAGGTGGATGCCTTCTCCCGACTTCACTGCTAAGGGTGAACCAACTAGCCTTTTTTGCAAGGTTGGATGTGACGCATCCACCCTATTCTCCTATAGTCGGAGCATTGTTTTCTTCATACTTTTGCATTCCAAACATCCTAAATCATCACATAAAACTTAATTAGTCATAAAACCAATAATTAACATGTGTTGGGCATTCTAAATACCAAATAGCACCAAAAAGCGGTTAAAACATGGGTAAAGTAATATTAAAACATACAAAAAAATATGGCTAACATCACCATCTGCATGAAGTCGAGTGACCAGCTCTGAATCTCTTAAAATTTTGCGGACTAATAAAAAATAACTTAATTAACAATATTCATCGCTTTGCCATGACCGTTCCTCATTTTTTGGCGTTTTAGGGCCATTAAACAAGAATTCAGGACGATTCCCAGATTTTTATGTGCTATAGTTCATGCCATCTGCATGAATTCGGGTTACCGGCTTCGAATCTCTTAATATTTTGCGGGCCTATAAAAACATTTTAATGAATAATAATTATCATTTTGTCATGACCGTTCCTCATTTTTTGGCATCTTAGGGGCATAAAATAGGAATTGAAGACGATTCCTAGATTTTTGTGTGCTATAGTTTACGCCATTTGCATGAATTCGGGTGACCAGCCCGGAATCTCCTAAAATTTTTCAGGCCAATAAAAAATAACTTAATGAACAATAGTCATCGCTTCGCCATGACCATTCCTCTTTTTTGGTATTTTAGGGCCATAAAACAAGAATTCATGACGATTTCCAAATTTTCGTGTGCTATAGTCCATGCATCTACATGAATTCGGGCAACCCGCCCCGGATCTCGTAAGATTTTTAGGCCCATAAAAATGGCCTAACGAACAATAGTAATTGTTCCGCCATGACCGTTCCTCATTTTTAGCATTTTAGGGCCATAAAATAGGAATTTAGGACAATTCCTAGCTTTTCGTGTGCTATAGTCCACCTATCTGCATGAATTCAGGGTGACCGACTCCGAATATCTTAAATTTTGCGGGCTCATGAAAACGACCTAATGGACAATAGTCATCGCTTCTCCATGACAATTCCTCATTTTTTGGCGTTTTAGGGCCATAAAATAAGAATTCAGGACGATTCCTAGATTTTCGTGTGCTATAGTCCACGCCATATGCATGAATTCGGGCGACCATCTCTGAATCTCCTAAAACTTTTCGGGCCCATCAAATGCGACCTAATGAACTATAGTCATTGCTTCGCCATGACCGTTCCTTATTTTTTTGGTGTTTTAGAGCCATAATCAGGAATTCAGGACGATTTCTTGATTTTCATGTTCTATAGTCCACGTCATCTGCTTGAATTTGGGTGACCAGCCTTGAATCTCCTAAAATTTTACGGGCCCATGGCTGTTCTTTGTTTGTTGGCGTTTCAGGGCCATAAAATAGGAATTCAAAATGATTCCTAGATTTTCGTAGTTCACGGCATATGCATGAATTCGGGAGACTGGTGCCGAATCTCTTAAAATTTTGCGGGCCTATAAAAATGACCTAATGAACTATAGTTATTGCTTTGTCATGACCGTTCCTCGTTTTTTGACATTTTAGGGCCATTCAAGTCGATTCCCAGATTTTCGTGTGCTATAGTCCACGCCATCTGCATAAATCGGACGATCGTCTCCGAATCTCTTAATATTTTTCGGGCCAATAAAAATGACCTAATGAATAATAGTCATCGCTTCACCATAACCCTTCCTCAGTTTTTGATGTTTTAGGGCGAGAAACGGAAATTCATGACGAATTCCTGATTTCGTGTGCTAATAGTCCACGTCATCCGCATGTTGTTATGATAGTGGAAGCTTTCCCTCTCCTACTGCTCAACTCGTACTTTTCTCAAATCCATGCATGTTGTTATGATAGTGGAAGGTTTCCTTTTCTGCCTTTCTTGCTTGATTCATCTTTCATCTCCGGATTGAATGTACTACTCAACCCCTCTAGACTTTTCTCAAATCCATGCATGTTGTTATGATAGTGGAAGCTCTCCCTTTCTGCCTTTCTTTCTTGATTAATCTTTCATCTTATTGTCTTGTCCGAACTATCCCCTATCGAACTAAGAGTTTTATCTCTTGTCAACTGTTTCTATTCTATGGTCTTTCAAAATTCAGATTCTGTTAATGTTGAATATAAACATAAGGTTTCATTGAGGGTGAAGATCATAAAGGAGTCCCATATAAAAAAAAAACTTTATTGAGTATATAAAAAACTATGAGAATTTTAACTGGGTGTATATTATTAGTCGATAAACATGTGAGATCTATTGGTCAAAGCGGCCAATAATACACCAAAAACATAAAACTGATTTGATATCACACGTTTTCATACGCTACAGTTTGTGAGGTCCAACAAAGGGGCTGTGGCGCAGTTCACTAGCACTTAGGTCTCATATCTTCTTGAGTAATCCTGAGGTCGAGAGTTCGAGCCTTTCTCACTCTACAATATCTTTTATTTATTTTTTTCCTTGAAATCCAAAATGTTAAATAATGGAAAAAGTAATGCATTCTCAATCACAAACGATGGTTACATATTTCTATCAATTTAGAAAAGATTACCATTATTAACTTCTTGAAAAAGCAACAAAATCTTATTGAAGAATATGACATAAAAACATTTCTTTTTTTGGTCTAAACTCATTTTACTATTTAGCACCATTATTAATGAATCTCTATTATATTGGATTACAACCTTATTTTTGATAGAAGTCTCTTGAAATAATTCTAACGCTTGCAAACAACTCCACGTCCATAAATCCCACTATTGCAACTCAAACTTGGCAATTCCAAATTCAACAAATCCTTATTATCAGACTGCTTTCCACTTTCTTGAAACCTAGCCACAGTACAATCAGTATCAAAGAGACTTGAAGTTGCAAAATTTTTGTCACCTCCCATTATAGGCATAAGAGCACCCATCTTAACTTTGCTTACGTAGTCCTTTCTATAAGTTTGCCCTAAAACACCACTCACTTGATCACTTAGAGAAACAAATTTGAACCCAAGTTCAAGATGAGCAAAGCAATCATCATTAGTTATGCCATAGTTATGAACTCGAGATTCATGTTTTGTTATGGGCACAACCTTAGCTGTGATCTTAAGAACATTTTCAACTTCGACGACAACGTCATTAGTGTTGCTGATTCTGGTAATGGAGATTATAGGTAAAGTTTCAGATTGCCACATTGCACCTTCAATATCAGGAAGGAATATAGTTTCACTGTCGAAATGGAGAGAGAGACGATCAATCGAATCATCCCATGTTGATGTTTTTAGTGCACCAATAGAGATTTTGTGAGTGTTGTAAAGGATAGCAATAGATTGTACCCAAGTGAAATCTCTCTTCATGTTTTCATTTCTTCTTCCTATGAAATGGGCATTGATATGGAATTCAGGGTCTGAGACTAAGCAAAAATCTTTGTCTTTCTTGCCATGGAAGTAGAAAGTAATTCCATCTCCACCAATAAAACGTGGATCTTGGCAAACTGCTCCAGGCTTGTCACACTCTGCATCCCAAATAAAAGTAGTCGGTATATATAATGTATAGTTTAGTTTTAACATAAAATAGGGAGGAAAAATATAAAGGAATTATTGCAAAAACATTTAGGAAATTACTTCTTCTGTTTCATTTTATTTGCTTTATTTTGATCGGGCACGAAGTTTAAGAATGTAAATAAGATTTTTCAAGGTGTGTATAATTATTGAAAATGTCCTTAGAATTTTGTAGTTTTAAATAAATATGTATAATCATTTCTATAAGGGAGTGTCATTAGAGGTATATTATATTGAGGAATATTAAAATTAAAAAGTTACTAAGAGGCATTCTTTTTTTTGAAACTTACTAAAATAAAAAGCAAGACATATCAATTGAAACTGTGGATCGAGTAATAACTTACTACAAACGGGCTTGCAGGTGACACAATCAACTTGACAACTTGTAGGGCAAGAGCTTGGGCATACATGTTGGACAGCATAACAACTGGGGTAGAATTTGTTCTTGCACTTGACCTTCTTTGGTGTGGGTGGTTTAGGAGTGGGCGATGGATACGTAGGAGGGGGTGGAGAACCAGATGAGGGTGGTGGAGGAGAAGATGGTGGTAATGGTGGTGAAGATGAAGGAGGAGATGAGGGTGGCAAAGAAGGCGGTGGAGTTGTTTCCTTAGGAGGAGTTGAGGGTGGTGGAGTTGCTTCATTGGGAGGAGAGGGGGGTGGTGGAGTTACTTCTTTGGGAGGTGGTGGAGTTGATTCCTTAGGAGGAGATGGTGGTGGAGTTACTTCTTTTGGAGGAGATGGTAGTGGTGGAGTTGATCCCTTGGGAGGAGATGGTGGTGGAGTTGCTTCCTTGGGAGGAGATGGTGGCGGAGTTGATCCTGAGCCATGATCACCATCATGATCGTGGTCATCACCATCATGTGGTGGAGTCTTTTCCTTGGGAGGATATTGGGGTGATAATGAGGGTGGAGTTTTTTCCTTGGGAGGAGATGAAGGTGGTGGAGGTGGGCCAGTGTGAGATCCTGAACCATGATCATCACCATCATCATCGTGATCATCACCATCGTGTGGTGGAGTTTTTTCCTTCGGAGGAGATGGGGGTGGATTTTTTTCCTTGGGAGGAGACGAATGTGGTGGAGGTAGGCCAGTGTGAGATCCTGAACCATGATCATCACCATCACCATCATGATCGTGGTCATCACCATCGTGTGGTGGAGTTTTTTCCTTCGGAGGAGATGGGGGTGGAGTTCTTTCCTTGGGAGGAGATGAATGTGGTGGAGGTGGGCCAGTGTGAGATCTTGAACCATGATCATCACCATCACCATCATGATCGTGGTCATCACCATCGTGTGGTGGAGTTTTTTCCTTCGGAGGAGATGGGGGTGGAGTTCTTTCCTTGGGAGGAGATGAATGTGGTGGAGGTGGGCCAGTGTGAGATCTTGAACCATGATCATCACCATCACCATCATGATCGTGGTCATCACCATCGTGTGGTGGAGTTTTTTCCTTCGGAGGAGATGGGGGTGGAGTTTTTTCCTTGGGAGGAGATGAAGGTGGTAGAGGTGCGCCAGTGTGAGATCCTGAACCATGATTATCACCATCACCCTCGTGATCATGATCATCACCATCACCATCATGATCGTGGTCATTACCATTGTGTGGTGGAGTTTTTTCCTTGGGAGGAGATGGGGATGGAGTTTTTTCCTTGGGAGGAGATGGGGGTGGTGGAGTGTTTTCCTTCGGAGGAGATGGGGATGGTGGAGTTTTTTCCTTTGGAGGAGATGATGGTGGCAGTTTTGACGAACCGTGATCATCAGGAGGTGGCACTGAGCCATCAATACAAATAGGCTTGCAAGATCGACACTCAGTTATGCAGCCATTGGGACAAAATTTGGGACAAACATGTGGAAGATTTTTACATTGCTTTATCTCATCATCTGAGCAATGAGAATGGCTTGGATGATCAGCTATTCCAGGGGGAGTTGCTTCTACCGTTGCTATTATAAACATTAGCAACACAATTCCCAAACCCACAACTAAGTGAGCTGTTGATCTAGCCATTATATTAGTCGCTCTCTAATTGTTCTAAGTACTTGAGTTGAATGAGTGATGAAATTTCCATTGCTACATCTCCTATTTTATACTTGTTGATGAAGGAGAACTTTAAGCCTATTATTTGGGGACTCATAATTGCATTGTTTGATTGGCAATTGATACGTTCTTTTGTAAGTTTCCTTTCACATGCTTGTTTTCCCAAGTCGAAGTTAGTTAAAAGAACTCAATATTCTCTTTGATGTCTATATATTTTATCTTGCTGCTTCTAAAATGAAGATGTTGCATCACTTAGCCATAAATCTAGGACACAACACTTTTCAAAGTGCTTAATCTTTATTTCTGTGGTGTACCTTTCCTTGAACATTGGAGTAGCTTCGAACTAAGGGGAAGACTCAAAATGAAGAAAGATGCTATTTCCTCAGGATAGGGGCAGAGCTAGAAGCTGGACTATTCGGTCGAACCAACCTTTGTTAGCATTTAAATTGTCGTTCTAGAAATCATAATCCATAAAGTTTAAATTCTAGATCTGTCAGGACTCATACATATAATAAGAGGCACAGACTTATGTTATCAAGTAAAGGGTCACCGGCACCCGAAAAGTTCAAGTTCGGCAAACTTTTCATGAATACAAGTATGTGTTTTTAGAAAATATTGATATATTAGTAATGACATCCTATATACAAAACATATTTTGGTTGAATGCAAAAGCGCACCCAACCTTCAAATACTGGGTCTGCCTCTCTCAGCGTATAATTAATATATTTGAATCCTGAAAGAAACATAGCCAAGAAAATAAAATGGATTGAAAAAGATGTCGTCTGACTTCAGACTGAACCTGGCAAAAAATTGAATAATACATGCATAACTAGTAGTAACTTATAAGTAAAATAATTAATAATGTAGGGCCCTTTCCTTCCCAGATTGGTAATGTTGGACTGTGGGTTAGGTTCAGGTCATTATTACTCAAAGCAAATACCTTTACAACTAATTCGATTGCTCACATTACTTCATGCATGGCTTCTATAGCTCCTGGCAAATAGAATCATATTCAATTGGACTTATTATTTCTATATCTTTATACAATTTTGATTTTGTTGGAAAAATAAACTAGATTCATGATTCATATACATGAACTAGGAAAAGTTAAAAATTTAAAATCAAACAAATATAAATATCTGTTAAATATTTTGCTTTAACAATTTGATTAATATATAAATATCTTAAATTCTTGAAATAAAGGGAGTACAAGAGATGGTTTTTCCAAGAAACAAGAAATATTGATCCCACGCAGTGCGACTTACGATGTCCCAAGGATAATTTGGATAAAACCCCCACATATATATGTAATGGGAAGAACAATCACAACCTTTTTGATGTTTTAGTAAAAATCCAAAGGCATAAGAAAAAACCCAAGTATAGTTCATAGAAGAAAGAGGCGTTCAAAGATGCTAAGATATCACTGATTAACTTTTGACTAAGTGATAAATCGATTCTTGAGCCGAGAATCTTTCAGAAACAACCATTTTACTTTTATAAGATAGAGGTAAAGTGTGCGTACACTTTATCATTTTTAGACCCCATAATATGAGAATGCACTAGATATATTATTGTTGTTGTTGTTGCTAGTTGAAAAATAGTCACATTAGTAAAATTAAAACAAGACTCTGAATTTTAAATTTATTTATATAAATTTAATTTTTTAATAAAAATATTTAATTTGAGTAAAAGCTTTTAAAATACTAAACCCGTCTCAGAGTATTTACCTCTGCCGCATCAAGAACGTAACTAAACCTCTTTTATGTTAAGTAAATGCAAAGGCATGAGATGCTAAGATAAGTGACTAGCCTTTCTTTCACTCGGTTAAAGAGTAGTCACATTTGACCGGTTCAAAATCGAACCGAAATCGTTAACCGAACTGAACCGATGGTTTATTGGCTTATTGGTATCGGATTATCGGGATAATGGATGGGGAACAGATTGAGATTTTATAATTAACGGTTTAACGGTTTGGGGACGGATTACTCAATTTTCTTATCGGGTAAACCGTTCACCCCTTAAATTTTTTTATATTTAAACGTTTACCCCTATGTATATAAAGTACCATTGTTTATCTGTCTTTCGTTCCCATTGTTATTTGTATATTACTATTCTTTTTCCAACTTCTTGATGCAATTACAAGTTGATGCCCACGTTTATATGATTATTGATTTTCCCTCATGTTGTACCTTTATCTATTTGCATACTACAGAATCGAATTACGCGTAGGAGCTTTGAGGGCGAAGGCTAAAGCTTTTGTCTTTTGATTGATTATGAACGAATGTCCTTTTGAAAGTTTGACTAACTACTGAACGAACGTGCTTTTCTGGTTTTACAAATTTGGTTAATATGTGTAATGACAGTATGTGTAGTCTTGGTACTGATTGAATGATTGTTCAAAAATAATTTATTTGGTTTAGCCGATAACCGCCCGATAATTGATAACCCGATACCAATCCGCCTGTTGTCTTATTGGATGGCTAGCTGATTACTACATTTATAATCCGATAACCGTTAAGCCGAACCGTTAAGTATAATTATCCGCCCGATAAGCACCCCTAATCACCTTAATTAATTAAGACAAGACTCCTCAGCTCAATATACGGTTTACTATAAGTGACCTTTATCGGCTAACGGTTTTTTTAAAGGTTGGGTTTGGTTAAATGAACCAGATATTTAAATTGTGTTTATGGTGTTTTAGGTGTCCATTTAATTCATGGGTCGGGTTTCTCACCGGCTGAGGGGTAAACTTGATCAATAGTAAGTCGGTAGGATTTAATTTGAACCGAATAGTATAACGGATGATAACTTTAAATAATTTTCAATAGTAAAGCAATAAATATGATCCTTTTCCGTAAAAAAATGCGGGTTGTATAACATTTGTTCCTTTAATGAGCCTTACGTAACACTAATATTAGTTAGTCGGGATCCTAAAACGGATATCAAATACTAGGCAGAAGTATAAGTTCTAAACTTGCCATCAAACTCATAGTTAGTTTTAGTTACTAAGTTATCAATTCAAATATACGGTTTACTACAAGAAATAACATGCATTTGCTGCACGAACAGAAGAAGAAACTTTGTTTTTTGCTTTTAAGTACTACGCCCCGTTTTAAATATTTTTTGGCAAAAACGTCGCCTCTCAGCGCTTCTCCCTAATATCAAAGGTGATAAGAATTGTTAAAGGCTTGTCTATATTAATTAAAATAGAGAAGTTTATATACAATTACAAGAGAAAAAGGGAGAGATGAGATAAAGTTCTCTGTACATAAGACTCTTGTGGAGATCGAAAAGAATCTTAGATACAACTTAAACTAGGACTCCTGGATAGGCTTGGAGTGTCTATCCTTATCATGCCCCTTCAAGATGGGCTCAATCTCCTTGAGACCAATCTTGTTGACAAAGTATGTGAATGATCGTTTGGGCAATGCTTTTGTTAAGTTGTACGTATAGGAGATTCTTTCCTATCTCCATAAGAGTCTTATGTATAGAGAACTCTATCTCCTCTTTCCCTTCTCCTCTTGCAATTGTATATAAACTTCTCTATTGTAATCAATATGGACAAGCCTTTTATAATTCTTATCAACTCTTATATGGTATCAGAGCAACAAATTCACCTACTCCATCTGTATAGAGTGTTTTAATTAACATATGAAATTGGTTTGTTATCATGCGAGTGAAGTTTAGAAATATATCTTTAACTTCTGATTTAGCTTTCATGGGAAACAACCAAGTGTATTTGGTAAAATGATCAACAAACACCATATAAAAATAAAAATTATCAAAAGAAGAGATAGGAGAAGAACCTCAAATATCAGAGTAAACAATATCAAATGGTTTTATACTAGAAATAGTGTTTGCACCAAAGGGCAGTTGATGACTTCTATTACATTGACATGAATTGCAAAAAGTGAACGACTCATTTTTCACTACTGGAAGCTTAAAGGATGAAACACAAGCTTTAGTGATGTGAGGTTGTGGGTGACCAGGTCGAGCATGCCAAAGATTGAGCGATGGTGATACTTGCGTGGTGAAATGAACTTTTGGGAAACTAGGTGATGAACAACTTGTTGTAGATGGCCATTCGTAGAGATCTTCATTACTCTGACCTTGCAGAAGACATGCACCCGTGTTCAAATCCTTTATAAGAAAAGAATAAGAAAAAAATTAAATAGAGGTTAGATTTTGACGATAAAATTTTGCAAGAGAAATTAATCTTTTCTTAATATAAGGAGAACACAAAATATTACGCAGTTTAAAGTACTTGAGAGGCGATGAAAGAGTAGTGTGGCCTATGTATGTGATAAGAATAGTTTTACTATCTCCAACAATGATTTCATCCATGCTTGGGAATTAAGTAGAGGCCTATAGAGATTGAGAATTGTTGGTAATGTGATGAGAAGTTCCAAAATCAACTACCCAGTTGTTGGAAGGGCTAGAAGCATAAGCCATACGATTGGCAAAGTTGGCTTGAGCTTCAATTGCATTATGAGATCTTGAACGACAGAGTTTGGCTATATGACCATATTTATCTCATAAATGACACTGGATATGTTGTTGATTGTTGCGATTGGTGTAAGAGGGATTAAAAGAGGTAGGATATTGAAATGTGTTGTTACGACATGGGTTAAGGTTGGCTTGTGATGTATTCCTACGATTGAAAGTAGTAGGGTTTTTGTTCTTGAAATTAGAGTCGTGGGACTTTTGGTGAAACTGGGCAGTGATGATCGGTGCAACACTCTTTGGTTCTGATAAGTGGGGTTTTTGACGACTTATTAGTGCCTTTTAGCTTTTATTTTAGTCTAAAAGCATTGAATTATATTTTCGAAACTAATAAAATTGTGCAAAATTACAGGAATTCTGGAAGTTGGTCTCCCGAGCTGAAATCCGACTAAAAATAGAGTAATCCAAAGCACAAGGCAATCAAGGGCACAGAAGCACAAATGTGCGGCCGGCCCGAAGAAGGAATTCTGCGGCCGCAGAAGAAATTGCGGAT